CAGCTGTTCATCAGTTACAACTTAGATTTTTCTGTATCACTTTTTTTTTTTTTTTAAACTCTGCCTTCTTTCAAGATTTTTCTCTTTGTCTTTGGTTTTCTACAGTATGAATGTGATATACTAGGTGTAGACTTCTTGGTATTCATACTGATTGGTGTTCTTTAAGCTTCCTGGATATATGATTTGGTATTTGTCGTTGATTTTAGAAAATTCTGTCATGTTTTTACAGAAAACATTTCTTCTGTTCCTTTCTCTCCTCTGATATTCTCTTTATACGTGTCTTAGACTTCTTGTAATTGTCCCATGGTTCGCGGATATTCTTATTTATTTTTTTCCAATCTCTTTGCTTTTTAATTTTGGAAGTTTCTATTGACATATCTTCAAGGTCGCTGATTTTCTTTCCAGTCCTCTGATGAGTTTCAAAGGCTTTCCTTATTTCTGTTAGTATTTTTTTTTTAAAGTTGTAGACAGACACAATACCTTAATTTTTTTCACTTAGTTTTTATGTGGTGCTGAGAGGATCACACCCAGTGCCTCACCCATGCTAGGTGAGGGCTCCACCAGTGAGCACAACCCCAGACCATCTGCTAGTGTTTTTGATTTCCGACATTTCCTTTTTCTTTCTTAGAGTTTCCTTATCTTTGTTTACATTACCCATCTGTTTTTTTCATTAGAGTGCTTAGCGTATTAGTCCTAGGCATTTTACCTTTTTTGATAATTCCAAAATCTCTGCCTTATTGCAATCTGGTTCTGATGCTTGCCTTGTCCCTCAGATCTTTCAGATTTTGTTCTGCTTTTCAGCTTGCCATTTGTTGTTTTTTTTTTGCTGAAAGCCAAATGTGATATTTAGGGTAAAGGGCTGGGGCTGGAGCTCAGTGGTAGAGCGCTCGCCTGGCATGTGTGAAGCACTGGGTTCAATCCTCAGGATCAGGTAAAAAAAAAATAAAGGTACTGTGTCCTCCTACAACTAAAATAAATAAATAAATAAGAAAAAAGAAATGAGGTAAATAGGCTTTCTTTCTTTTATTTGTTCTTTTTTAGATATATATAACAGTGTATTTTGGCATATATAAATAAACGGAGTATAACTTCCCAATCTTGTGGTTGAACATGATGTGGAGTTACACTGGTGGTTTATTCATGTTTGAGCATAGGAAAGTGATGTCCGATTCAGGCTACTGTCTTTCCTATTCCTCTCTCTCCTCCCTTCCCTTCATTCCCCTTTGTCTAATTAGTGAACTTCTATTCTCCCCACTCCACATTATTGTGGGTTAGCAGCCACATATCAGAGAACATTTGGCCGTTGGTGTTTGGGGATTGGCTTATTTCACTACGCATGATGGTCTCCAGTTCCATCTAGATAACTAGGCTTTCTGCATGAAGTTTTACATTCATCTATTCAGGAATTAGGCTATGGAGAACACCAAGGTAACTGTCAGGATGTGGAGAATTGAAGTCTATGAAGTTGATGTAGCTTGTGCCTGTGTTGTTATCCTGTAAATTTTGACATTGTGGAGTGACACAAACATGTCCAATCTATATTAATGGTATAGCTCACTCTAAACTTTTCCTTAGTGTTCTTGTTTTTATCTTCCTTTGCCTGTTTGGGTTTCCCTAGAGATGACTTTTTTTTTTTTCTCTCTCTCTCTTTTTAATAATACTAGGGATTAAACCTAGGTCTTGCACTTGCTAGGAAATGCTCACCTCCAAGTTACAGCTTCAGCCCTTTTTTAAAAATTTGAGATAGGGTCAACCTAAGTTGCCCACACTGATCTCAAACTTGTGATCCTTCTGCTTCAGCCCCTGGGTAGCTGGGATTGTAGGTGTGTACCACCATGCCTAACTAGGGGCTTCTTAAATAAGGTCTGAGGCTTTCTGTTATTTCAGTTACAATTCCCTGTTGTAATTCAGAACTCTGGTGATGTTGTAGTGAAGACTGTGGGGAGCAGAAGCATTCTATAATCTTGTGACTGGGTCTCAGTCTTTCAGTGAGCTTGTGTCCCTTCACAAATACCTTTTCAGGTGAGCCAAGAAGGCAAGAGGGGCTGAAATTGAACATAGCTCTGTCCCTGCATCCATTAGGCTCCAATAAAACTGAAGTTGGTTAGGCTCTGGCAATTCAGCTTCCTGATTGCAGACCACTTTTAAGGAGTACGGAACACTTGGGGCTCATTTCCCAATTTTTACCTTTCCCTTTTCCCTGCAAGAAGCACACCCTCAGAGAGGGGACTCTGTATCTCTCAAGCTAGTTCATGGCAATTAATCTGGTACCATTTAAGTGTTCCTACCATGCTTCATGCAGTGGCACATACTTCTGGCAAGCTCTTATTCTCTGCATTCACCTGTGTCTTTGTACTTTTCTTTCTAAAAAAATTTTTTTAGCATTGGGGTTGTTGCTCATTTTTAAAAAAATATTTATTTTTTTAGTTATAGGTGGACACAGTTTTATTTTATTTATTTTCATGTGGTGCTGAGAATTGAACCCAGTGCCTCACATGTGCTAGGCAAGCGCTCTACCACTGAGCCACAACCCCAGCCCCGTCTTTGTAGTTTTCAGGACAGGTATTTGCTCTGTGACCTCAACTCTGGGATGTTATCAAAGAGGAGTTGTTGATTTTCAGTTTTTTCAGCTTTTTTTTTTTCTTATAAGAATGGAAGCAATGACTTCTATATACTCTTTATACATCATTCAGGAAATTGGAGTTTCTATTTTTATTAAATATTTATTTTTTAGTAGTAGCTGGACACAACACCTTTGTTTTATTTATTTATTTTAATGTGGTGTGAGGATCAAACCCAGGGCATCGCACGCGCTAGGCAAGCATTCTACCACTGAGCCACAACCCCAGCCCGATTAGAGTCTCCTTTCTACAATTAAAAACTGTGTTATTTCTTTTTTCCTTGCATATTCTCACACTTATGGATATTTTTGCTTGGTTATGTGTTATGAATGTTTTCTCCCTTCTGACATATGTCTTTCTTGGGTGGGGGGGCGGGAGTTCTTAATTTTAAAGTAGTGAGTTTATTAGTCCTAATATCTGATCTTTTTTGTGACCTTTTGGATAATTCTTTCCTAGTCTGAGCTCATGAAGATATTATTCTGTGTACACCCTCCTTTTGCCTTTCATAAGTTGTTTTAGTCTGCTTTGTTGCTGCTGCAAATAAAAGGACCTGGTCAGAACAGCTGTAGAGGAGGAAAGGTTTATTTAGAGACTCAGGGTTTCAGGGGCCTCAAACCATAGATAGCAGGCTCCATTCCTCGGGGCTTAAGGTGAGGCAGACATCATGGCAGAAGAGTGTGGCAGAGGGAAGCAGCTTGCAGGATGATCAAGAAGCTGAGACAGACTTTACTCTACAGATATAAATAAGTACCCCAAAGCCACACCTCAATTCCCACTTCCTCCAGCCACACCCTGTCACTTCAGTTACCACTCATTTAATCCCTCTTTTTAGATTTTTCTTTAATTCTCTAAATGATATTCCATTATTGTCTCTGTAGGATTCTTTGACATGTTTTGTAGAGTTAGGTAATTGATTTCTTTTATATCTATTTTAACAAGTCTTTCGAGTTATTTTTTTCTCAATTTTTTTGATCTGATATTTTAAAAATTAACTTATTTTTCTGATCTGACCTTTAATTTATTAATATTGCTAAATTCAGTTATTCTAGTTGCTTATCAGATATCTTTGTTGGGGGTTGTTCTGTGTATTCAAGTATGTCTTTTGAAAATAATTACATTTTCATTGTTACTGGTCTACCATTGTTCGTTCTTTCTTTTTCTTTTTTTTTTTTTTGCATTGTCATAGACCCCTGGGATTTGCCTGTAATCCCAGCTACTTTGGAAGCTGAGGCAGGAGGATTGCACATTCAGTGCCAGCCTGGGCAATTTCAAAATATTAAAAAGAGCTGGGGATGTTGCTCAGTGGTAAAGTACTTGCCTAGCTCGTGCAGAGGCCCTGGGTTCTTTCCTTAGCACACACAAAAACTACCATGCTTTAGGCCAGGTATTGGCATGTGTTTCTATAATGGCTAGATAGCAATATTCTGGGCTTTGAGAGCCATAAGATTTGGGTCATAACTGCTCTGTCATTGTAGCACAAATGCTGCCATAGGTAATCTATCAGCAAAAAACCATAGCTGGATTCCAAGAAAACTTTATTTGTAGACACTAAAATTCAAATTGTATATAGTTTTTATATGTCATAAAATATTATTCTTAGCTGAGTGTGGTGGCACATGCCTATAATCCCAGTGGCTCAGGAGGCTGAGGTAGGAAGATCATGAGTTCAAAGCCAGCCTCAGCAAAAGTGAGATACTAAACAATTCAGTGAGACCCTGTCTCTAAATGAAATACAAAATAGGGCTGGGGATGTGGCCTAGTGGTCGAGTGCCCCTGAATTCAATCCCTGGTACCCCCTCAAAAATATTATTCTTTGGGGTATTAAAAAGAATAGGGGCCTAGGGATATAGCTCAGTTGGTAGAATGTTTCCCTTGTATGCACAAGGCGTTGGGTTCAATCCACAGCACCACAAAAAAAAAAAAAAAAAAAGAATAGGAGTATAGCTCAGTAGTAGTAGACTACTTGTCCAGCATTCATGAGGCCCAGGGTTTAATCCTAAGCACTGCATAAACAAACTCTTTAAAAACCATTCTTAACTTGTACAAGAACAGACAGTGGAGTGGATTTGGCCCTTGAGTCACAACATGACATCCCTGCTTTAGGCTATACTCGTGTATTTGTATATCTAAACTAAAAAAATATGTGCTTTGCTTTTATTTTTAGTTACAAAAGTAGCACATGCTTGGTTTAAAGCTTAAAGCCCTTCAGAAATACCATACAGAAAATAAAAGCTACTCCCTCATAAATCTCACACTGTGATAATTGCTTAAAATTGTTTGGAATATATTATAAAATTGCTCTTACATGAATACATTAAATTTTATAATATATATCTACTGATCTGCACTGAATTGATTTTATGCTGTTTTATTTTCAAGGTACAGAAGGCAGTTGAAGAAGAAAATTGTTGCTTTGGGACTATTGATACCTGGTTGCTATACAAGCTCACAAAAGGTAAAGGTGACCTGATAGATCTATCTCAAGTAAATGAAATTAGACTGAGAGAGGATTGCCTACAATAGAGTAGAAGTTAACCTTTTCCTTCCTATATCCCAGACATACTACTCTTTGATGTCCACTACATGTTGTGGTAAAGCTAGATGTATTGCAGATCTGTTTTAAAAGGAGGATGGTTTTAAAATTGTGATGGCCAGGCACTAAGGTGCCCACCTGTAATCCCAGCTTGAGAGGCTGTGACAGGAGGATCACAAGTTTAAAGCCAGCCGCAGCAACTTAGTGAAGCCCTAAGCAACTCAGGAGACCCTGTGTCTAAATAAAATGTAAAAAAGGGCTAGGGATATAGTTCAGTGGTTAAGTGCCACTGGGTTCAATCCCCAGTACCAATAAAATAAAATAATGATGGAACCTCAAATATAAGACTGGGTAACAGTCTCAGTTTTCAGAGTGGTAAAACTTGAGTTGAGTACCACATCTGCCACACTGCAGTTGGATATAACCTATTGTAGGCATTCACTTAGCAGCTCTGAGCCTCTTTTCTCCATCTTCAAACTGGGGTCAGAAAGTGGCACTGTCCGTGAAAGTGCTTTTGTAAGCTATAAAAGTTCACAAAGATTAAGAGGGAAATTTCTCTGGGGACTATTTTGGAAAAATACTCATTTTGGAATGAATTTGAAAGTAGACAAAGGAATAGATCATAAACTAAGGATAGATATTTATTTATATTATCTGATAATAAATGTATTTCCCATGTAATTTAGGTTCTCAGTATGCCACGGATTTTTCAAATGCCAGTACAACTGGACTTTTTGATCCATATGAGGTAAAGATGATTTCTTCTTTCTCAATTGCCAATTTTTGAAAGATTTAGGTGAGGTTGTTTTAGTTTTTTTAAATTAATTTATTATAATTAGTGAAACTTGTATGTGATTATTTTGTACAATATAGTGTTTTGAGATGGTTACGTAGGTTTGAAATGTGTAGATGTGTGTGTTCTGATGTTGTGTTTTCATGCATAGATGTGTTGGAGCAGGCTCATTACCTCCATGATTTCCGTACCACTCTCTCTCCTGCCTCCCGTGAAGGACACCAGGTAATAATGAACATCAGACGTGAAAATCAGCAACATTGTCCTTGAAAGATTTTTGCTTTGTTGGGGAAAAGCATTTTATCACATACCTGAGGTGTTTGTATGTTCATATCTGACTTGTTGGCCTCTGCTGAAAACAGTTTGCTGAATTTTAGAGTTAATATTTCTAGAGCTATAACTAACTTTTTAATCAATCTTATTTGAAGCCACAATTTTGGATCAGTGGATGAAGAGATATTTGGTGTGCCTATACCAATAGTTGCCTTGGTAAGTCCAAACCACGAGGGTTTCTCTTTGTATTGTAGAAACTAAATGAATTTATGAATATTTGGAACTCACTTTAAGAGAGACAGATGTCCTTGGCAGAGTAAGGTCAGAGTAATCTAATGGGGCTGGGTGTAGCTCATGGTGGAGCACTTGACTGGCATGCTCTACTTAGTGTACCCATGTTCCATCCAAGCACCAAAGAAAAATCAGTTAAAGTATCCTTTTCCTTTTCAAGTTCAAGGGTCCTGGACATGAACAAGTATCCTCTGTATTTCAGAAAGGGGACCACTGGACCAGCCTCTGTCATGGAAGCACCTCATGATCTTTTCCAACTTACTTATGTATTGTCTTCCAGAAAGAGTGTGTTAAATTTTTTAAAGGTGTATTCTGAGTAATGTGTGGCTTATATTTGATATTATGAGCTAAAAACAATGATGGGGCCAGTGTTTTTATTGGGTACAATATATTCACAAAAGTAATAGAACAATTCAAATTAGAGAAAGTAGTATTTGAGTTTTATAAAATCCTTACCAAGCATCTACTGGTATAAAAGCTGGTGTAAAAAATTTTTAATTTTGTTATTTTTGATTTATAAAGTTCTTTTCATCAGTATATTCTTTTTCTCTAGCTAGATCAAGAGTCAAAATTTGGAAAACCACCAGAATTTGCTACCGGTTATCAGGCTGCAAAGAAACTCAAATGTTGCTTTTTGTTTTCGGAGGCAGCATAAGCAGGAGGCAGAGACTCGGTGTCCCTAGATGGACAGTCTCCATAGTAGCTGACGGAGCAGACGAGGGAAAGGGAATTTAATCCCCAGTTACAGCTTCACGGTCATTTAGGAAGAGTCTTACTCACTTGGGGGTTAGGTTCAGTATTAGATTAAGGTATAACTGGAATAATTTTTTTAAAAAAGGTTATTTAGATGAGTTTTATTTTTTATTTAATTAAGTTTATTTATTTATGTATTGTGTTGAGTCTTGAACCCAGGGTCTTGAACATGCTAGTCCAGTGCTCTGCCACTGAGTTACATTCCCCAGCCCTAGATTAATCTTAGTTTTTAAAATCTTGCCATATAAGACTGGAGAAGTGGCTCAGTGGTAGACATCTTGCCTGGCAAGCATGAGGCCCTTGGCTAAATCCCAGCACCACCACCCAAAAAAAAAAAAAAATTATCCTATAAAGTCAGTTGCATAGGTGCACTTGGAATGGTAAGGCAGGAGGATCACTTGAGCCCAGAATTTCTGGACTAGCCTGGACAACATAGCAACATTGTTAAAAAAAAAAAAACTAAAGTAGGATTAGGGATTAGGGCTATTTCTCAGTGGTAAAGTGCTTATCTGAGGCCCTGAGTTCAATAGGCAGCACCGAAAAAAATTTTAATAAATGTAAATGAATAAATATTCCTGTATGTGTGCTATATTTACTTATATTAACAAAATGATATAATTTTCCTACAAAAATATATAGTTGGAGCTGAGTGGCTCCTGTAAAACCAGCTACTCAGGAGCTGAGGCAGGAAAATTTCAAGTTAAAAGTCATCCTGGGCAATTTAGCAAGATCACGTCTCAGGGCTGGGATGTAGCTTAGTGGTAAAGGGCTCCTGTGTTAAATCACCCTGGTGCTGATGAGAAGAAAAAAATACACACACATATATATGGCTGGGAAAGGGATGGTTTTGACTTAGGTCTGTTTCTATTTAAACATTTACCTATCATTCTTTTTTTAAAAATTGTGCTGAGGGTAGAACCCAGCCACTCCTGCAAGTGCTCTGCTGCAGAGCTATATCCTCAGCTGCACCCATCATCCTGTTTTCTTAATATTTATTTTTTAGTTGTAGTTGGACAAATACCTTTATTTTATTTATTTAATTTTATGGGTGCTTGAGGGTCTAATCCAGGGCCTCGAACGTGCTAAGGGAGTGCTCTAACACAGAGCCACAACGCAAGCCCCACCCATCATTCTTTTTTTTTTTTTTAATATTTTTTAGTTTTAGATGGACACAATATCTTTATTTTGTTTTTATGTGGTGCTGAGAATCGAACCCAGTACCTCACGCATGCCAGGCGAGTGCGCTACCACTTGAGCCACATCTCTAGCACCCCCCCACCCATCATTCTTAATAAAAGAGAAACTTGTGCAGTCAGTTACTTTGACTAGTGAATGAAAACTCTGTAAGATGAAAATGAAAAAAAAAATCAATTTTTTTTCTATACAGTTTTTATTTTGACCTTTACTTCTAAGATTATTTATCTGATGCTTAAAAGTAATGAAGTAGGTTGCCCATTAAAAAATCCTGAGGCCAAAAAAAAAAAAAAATCCCAAAAATAAAAATTACCAAGGCACATTAGTTATGCACATGATGCTAATCCTAGAGAGACTCCTGTCCTGTAGTTTTTGTTCCCTGTTCTCTTTGGGATGTTATTTTTTTTTTAATTTGAGGAAAATGTGAATGAGAACATAAATATTTAATTGCAAGACTGCAATAAGTGAGGCAGTGAAAAATAATAAAATGGACCACTGCTAAGGGCCGTGGGTCTTACATTTGAACACTTTTGGTAGGTCGGTGACCAGCAATCAGCCATGTTCGGAGAGTGCTGCTTCCAGACAGGAGATGTAAAATTAACCATGGGAACTGGGACTTTTTTGGATATTAATACTGGAAACGACCCTCAACATACTGTTGGAGGTAAATAGTTAGAATTTATTCCGGTCTAATATCAGTTTTTATATTCATAAGTGTTTGGTGATCCTTATACTATTTACTCATTTTATGTTAAGAATGATCCAACACATTATTATTCTTAGAAACAATTAATCCCCATTTTCTTTATTTCCTTTAAGTTAGTAACATTAAAAAACAATAAAGGGCCGGGTGTGGTGATGCATGCCTTTAATCTCAGTGGTTTGGGAGGCCGAGGCAGAAGAATTGCAGGTTCAAAGCCAGACTCAGCAATTTCGTGAGGCTGTAAGCATCCTAGTGTGACCCTGTCTCAAAATGAAAAATAAAAAGGGCTGGGGATGTGGTTCAGTGATTAAGCGCCCTCGGGTTCGATCCCTGATGCAAAAACAAACAAAGAACACCCAAGAAAGAGAGTTAGCATGGTGGTGCATACCTGTAATCTCAGTGATTTGAGAGACCAAGGCAGGAGACTCTCAAATTCAAGGCCAGCCTCAGCAATTTAGTAAGGCCCTAAGTAAATTTGCAAGACCCTCTGTAGCGTTAAAAATAAAAGGGGCTGGGGATGTAACTTAGTGGTGAAGTATCCCTGGACTCAATTCCAAGTATCAAAACAATAACATCAACCAAAAAAGTCAGGTGCAGTGACCCATGGCTTCTAATCCCAGTGATATTTGAGAGGCTGAGGCAGGAGGATTATAAATTTGATGCTAGCCTGGGCAAGCAAGACCATGTCTCAAAGTAATAAATAAAACAGGCAAGGGATGTAGCTCAATGGTAAGCACTCCCTGGGCTCAATAACAAGTACTACAAAAGGAGGAGGAGGAGGAGGAGGAAAATCAAAAGATCAAAGTAGTTTGGTTAGCCTTCCAAATATTTATCTGTATTACATGTTATATATAAAACTTTATTAAAGTTCTAAGTTTCTCTCTCCTTTTTTTTTTTTTTTTTTTTGGTGGTGCTAGAGATTGAATCCAGGGCCTTGTGTGTGCTAGAAAAACATTCTACCACTGAATTACATCCCCAATCCTAATTGTTTTTCCTATTTATTAAGAATTATTCTTTCTCTGAACTTTTTTGTGATAGTTGTTAACTAGTGATGCATGCATGTGTCAAGTCTTAATGACAGTTGATTTCAGTTACCAAGAATTTGCAGATGTGCAAACAAAGAAATCTAGTTTGTAGAACTATTCCCTGGAGGTCTGGGGCACTTGATTTGGGCTCTGTTTTCTTCACATGGATGCTCAGATCTGTTTTTTAAAATATTTTTTCCTGTCTTCCATGCCTAATCCAGCTGTTCCTTTCTCCCTAACTGGGAAAATGAAAGGTAGAAAATGTTGATCATTATTCTCAGCTGTTTCTATGTAGGAGTCTTGTTTGGAAACCAGGGGTAAATACAGCAGCATAGCTTTCTAGAAAACTGATCTTGTAGTTACCTTTACTTCTCAAAATATTTATTGCCATGCGTCTAGAGGTATAGACAGGCCTATAGCTAAATAAACTAATATTTACGAGCTGAGGATGTAGCTTAGTGTTAGCACACTTGCCTAGTATGCATGAGGTCCTCGGATCAGCCCAGTACCACAAAAACAAACAAACCAAACAAAAGCAAAAAAATCCTAACATTTATTGTTCATGTTATATGCCAGGTACTGGTCTAAATTCTTTAACTTCTTTTCATGTGTAAACTCAGTTTACTCCTACAGCAGCTCTCTGTCATAGGCCATGTTACAGTGGAGGAAACAGGCTAATAGGTTAGATCACAACTAGTTAGTGAGAGAGGGCTGGAATGTGAATCCAAATGGTCTGACCTAATAGGCACTTTCCGTTTTTTTTTTTTTTTTTTTTAATAAAATTGCATTTTTCTAAGATGGCTAAGATGGCACATGCCTATAATCCCAGGACTTCAGAGACTGAGGCAGGAGGATTGCAAGTTCAAAGCCAGCCTCAGCAATTTAGTGAGGCCCTAAGCAAGTTGAGACTATGTCTCAATAAAAAATAAAGTGGTTAAGTGCCTCTGAGTACCTAAATAAATAAGTAAACAAATCACATGTTCTATTGGAACAGTCTCTCTTTGAGTTGTGTATCTATTAAATGACTTCAATTGTTTGCTTGTTTTCTAAGGCTTTTATCCATTGATCGGGTGGAAAATTGGACAAGAAGTTGTATGCTTAGCTGAAGGCAATGCAGGAGACACTGGAAGTGCCATAAAATGGGCTCAGCAATTAGGTAAGTTGACTTTTAAATGTATTTCGCAGGTCAGACTTAAAGAATTCTACTATGCCACATGATTGGAGATCAGTAGGCAACAAATGGGGTATTTATTTAAATAAAACATTACAGTGTTAGAGTTGAAGAAAATATGGAATGTTTTTATGATATTAAGGTGTTAAAGCTAGGTATTCAGGAACCATAAAGGAAAAGAATAATAGATTTAAGTGTCTAAAGTATCGGAAGTATAGGGAAAAATGTCTTAGGTAAAATTAGAAGACAGGTTAGTAAAAACAATTTGTAGCATGTCAGGAAAACAAATCACAAATAATTGACAAAGGAATACAGGCATTTCATAATAAAATGACCATTATGAACTGTTGCTTATAGCCAATAATCAAAGTAATGCATTTAAAAATATTGCCTTTTGCTGGGCAAGGTGGAGCACACCTGTAATCCCAGCTACTAGAGAGGCTGAGGCAGGAGGATTACAAGGGCTAGTTTGGGGTGACCTAGCGAGACTATGTCTCAAAATCTGAAAATTTTTTTTAAAAAGGGCTGGGGAACTGTACCCAAAGGACTTAAAAACAGCATAATACAGGGATACAGCCACATCAATGTTTATAGCAGCACAATTCACAATAGCTAAACTGTGGAGCCAACCTAGATGCCCTTCAGTGGATGAATGGGTAAAAAAATGTGGCATATATACACAATGGAATTTTAACAGCAGTAAAAGAGAATAAAATCATGGCATTTGCAGGTAAATGGATGGCGTTGGAGAAGGTAATGTTAAGTGAAGTTAGCCAATCCCCAAAAATCGAATGTCGAATGTTTTCTCTGATATAAGGAGGCTGACTTATAGTGGGGTAAGGAGGGGGAACATGGGAGGAATAGATGAATTCTACATAGGGAAGAGGGGAGGAAGGGAAAGGGAGGAGGCAGGGGATTAGCAAGGATGATGGAATGTGATGGACATCGTTATCCAAAGTACATGTATGAAGTTACGAATTGGGTGTCAACTACTTTATATACAGAGATATGAAAAATTGTGGTATATATGTGTAATAAGAATTGTAATGCAAAAAACCCCACAAAGTTCATGTATAAAGACATGAATTGGCATGAACATATTTTATAAACAAAGATGAAAAATTGTGCTCCATATGTGTAATAAGAATTGTAGGGGCTGGGATTGTGGCTCAGCGGTAGAGCTCTCACCTAGCAAGGGCGGGACCCGGGTTCGATCCCCAGCACCCCATAAAAAAAATAAAGGCATTGAGTTGTGTCCATCTACACCTAAAAAATAAATATTAAAAAAAAAGAATTGTAATGCATTCCACTTTTGTGTATTTAAAAAAAAATCAATTAAAAAAAAAAGGGCTGGGGATGTAGTTCAGTGGTAGAGCATTCCCAGGTTCATTCCCCAGTACCACACATACACACACACACAAAAAAAAAAAAACTACTTTTTTTTTTTCCAATTGTCAGTCTGTTAGAGATTAATAAGTTTTATGATGCTCAGCATTGGTAGAAATGTAGAAAAAAAAAGTATTATTATTTTCCATTGGGACGATTGTAATTAGTGTGGCCTTTCTGGAAGATAGCCAGGTAGTATGTAGCATTTTTCAGAGTGCAGACCCTTTGCATGCACTTCTGTTGATTTCCTATAAAAATCATATAGGTGGGCAAAGATGTGTACATATATGGATGTTTAATGTAGTAATTGGAAATAAGTTCTGTACAGTAATAAAGCCTGCAATAAATGTCAGTATATTCATACAGGGCAACAGTGTATATTTAAAACAGCAGTGTAGTTGCTTTTTTTTTTGGTACTGGAGATTTAACCTAGGGATGCTCTACCACTAAGCTACATCCCCAGCCCTTTTTATTTTTTATTTTGTGACAGGGCTTTGCTAAGTTGCTGGGGGCCTCACTAAGTTGCTGAGGTTGACTTGAACTTGCCATTCTCCTGTCTCAGCACCACAGGTTACTGGGACCACAGGATTTGCCATCTTACCTGGCTGTAGTTGCATATCTTTTTTTTTTAATATTTATTTTTTAGTTATAATTGGACCTATATTTTTTAATTTTTTTTTTGTGGTGCTGAGGATCGAACCCAGGGCCTCACATGTGCCAGGTGAGCGCTCTACCACTGAGCCACAACCCAAGCCCCATGTAGTTGCATATCCTAATGACATGGACCATATCTGTGATGCATTAAGGAGGTGATAGAGCATTTAAAGGTTAGCCTATATAAGTAATTTTTACTTCGAATTACTCTATTGAGATATTATCCACATACATACAGTGCACCAATTTAAAGTGTACACTCCAACATTATTCAGGGCTTGCGCTCAATTTAATTTAGGAATTAGTAAGCTAATTTAGCTTTTCAAAGATATATTGTATCTAAATCTTATAAAAGTTTAATTTACCTTGAGCAATTAAAAATTGATCTTGAGGTTAGGTGTGGTGATGCATGCCTGTAAACCCAGCAGCTCAGGAGGCTGAGGCAGGAGGATTGTGAGTTCAAAGCCAGCCTCTGCAAAAGTGAGGCACTAAGCAATTCAGTGAGACCCTGTCTCTAAATAAAATACAAAATAGGGCTACGTAAGTGATTCAGTGGCCAAGTGCCCCTGAGTTCAATCCCTGGTACCCCCCCACCAAAACAAAAAATTGATCTTGAGTAATTCATGATAATTCTTTCATAATAGAAGTAAAATGATTCTTGATTTTTGGCTGGTTATTTTTTTAAATAAAAAATTAAAAAGCCTAAAAATAAACAAATAAAGTGTTTTTAGAGTGTATATGTGGTGTTACGAACATCACCACTATCTAATTTTAGAATATTTTTATTTCCTGTAAAAGAAACACCCTACCCATTAGTAGCCCTGATACCATTTTTATCCTGGTCCTTCTCACCATAGCCCTGAGCTACCATTAATTTTCTTCCTGTCTGTGGATTTGCCTGTTTCAGGCATTTCATACTGATGAATTGTATCTTATGTAGTCTTTTGTTACTGACATCTTCCACTAGTGTATTTTCAAGGATCACATGTGCTATAGAATATATTAGTACTCCATTTCTTTCTTTCTTTTTTTTTAATAATTTTAGTTATAGATGGACATAATAATACCTTTATTTTATTTTTTATTTTTGTGTGGTGCTGAGGATCTCAGACCCAGTGCCCCACATGTGCTAGGCAAGCTCTCTGCCACTGAGCCACAACCCCAGTCCCTCCATTTCTTTCTTTTTTTTTTAGAGAGAGAGAGAGTGTTTTAATATTTACTTTTTAGTTCTCGGAGGACACAACATCTTTGTTTGTATGTGGTGCTTTTTTTAAAAAAATTATTTTTTTAGAGAAAGAAAGAGAGAGAGAGAGAAATTTTTTTTAATATTTATTTTTTTAGTTTTTTCGGCAGACACATCTTTCTTTGTATGTGGTTCTGAGGATCGAACCCGGGCCGCACACATACCAGGCGAGCGAGCTACCGCTTGAGCCACATCCCCAGCCCCCCTCCATTTCTTTTTATTGCTGAATAATATTCTATTGTATGAATAAGCCATAATTTATTTATCCATTCATCAGCTGTTGAAACTTGGGCTCTTTCTCTGCATTTCGTCTTTTATGAATAATGAACAGCTTGTTATAAAACCATATTTCCTTCATAAAGCATAGAATATTATATACCAAAATATTAATAATGCTTATAAGTAATTTAATTATAAGTAATTTACATAATTGCTGAGAGCCATAGCTGAGTCGGAATGACACATGGCATTTTTGCCAGAACAGAGTGGTTGAGAGGTGATGCCAGCAAGCCATTGAGATGATGACAGTTATGTTAAGCGGTGTATTCAATTGCATGTTAGATCCCTGCTGTCCAGCTTGGCCTGCTACTTTGGAGTTCTCCTGCTACTTTGGAGTTCTCCAGGGGATTCCCGGAGAGTTCCCTTTGGTTGGGGAAGTGCTGGAGGAGGGATTTTCTGGAGGAGGGATTTGCGGTTGGTGTATGGTGGCCCGTATGGGAAGGAACCCGCGACCTTGGCATTATCAGCACCAAGCTCTGATGAATCCAAATTTAAAAAGTTTAGAGTAAAAAGGGTTATTTTAAGTTTATCTTTAGGGGATATATACCCCTTTCCACATAATTATGAGTAATTATAATTAAATTATGGTGCAACTTTGACTTTATTCTTTGCTGATTGGAACTGAATTGATTTGTTTGAAGAAAAAATATCTATTGGCAGAAAACACACTCCAGGAGGAAAATGCCAGTTTCTTCCTTTCTCTCTTTCTCTTTTTCTTTGAGCCTGTACCTCATTATATGCATAAGATTTCTTATTAACCAAACAACATTTATTTCAAAGCTCTTTATTATTTAAATGTTGCTTCCTTCTTAAATGTGTTTCTCCTAATATTCTAGGCACGTCTTTAATAACTCTAGATTATCAAAAATAAAAAAAATAGTTTACATATTTCATCTCTTTTAGTTATACCTTTTATTACTTTTATTCCTTTGCGGAAGATGCAAATAGTTGATTTCATACTCATTGGTTAAAAACTACTACTCATTCATGAGTTTCATGGGCACATTATCCAAGGGAGTCATTTCCATCGCTTAGGTGAATCCAGGCTCATTCATTGTGATTCAGAATGCTTAAAAATGCTTAGGGGTGGGTGGTTGCAGAGCAGTGGCGCATGCCTATAATCCCAGAAGCTAAGGAGGCTGAGGCAGGTGGATCACAAGTTCAAAGTCAGCCTCAGCAAAAAGTAAGGCACTAAGCAAGTCAGTGAGACCCTGTCTCTAAACAAAATACAAAATAGGGCTGGGGATATGACTCAGTGGTAGAGTGTCCCTGAGTTCAACCTCTGGTACACACACACACACAAAAAAAAATGCTGAAAAATCTTCTCTGGGAGGTGGAGCCAAATGACCCTGAATTTGAGGAGGGACCTGAATTTCTGAGGGAAGCACAGGCCTTCCTGAAAGTCAGTTCCATCTCTGGAAGG